GCCTTCAGAGCTCAGCTCCAATGCCCCGAGGCCTTCTGTGATTCTCATTCTCATTCTCTCTTTCATGTCTCACCCATTCCCTCTCACAAACACAAACGCACGCATACGCACACAAACACACTTTGTTTTGCACGTATGACCACCAAACCTGGCCCTGTGCATAGATTTACGTCTTCACCATCGACCTCCCCACTACGGAGTGAGCTGCATATGGACAGGCCACAGAGGTCTTGTTCTCTACTACACGGACAGGGACAAGAACACTGCCTGGTGCATGCAGGGAGCTCAGAAGGAAGAACAGAGGCAGGAAGGAGGAAGGTGGAGGGAGAAGAAGGGGGGAAGTAAGAAAAGAAAAAAGTAGGGAACACAGGAGGGAGGAGGAAAGGGGGGAAGGGAGCGGAAATGAGGAAGACGAGGGAGAAGGGAGTTCAATGAATGAACATCCAACTTAGTATGTTTTTAGCTCCTTCTTTAATGCCATTTTTCCACTGTCGGTGTGTAGGATGGGCCGAAGAACTACTGTAACACACTACAGGGGGAAAAAAAACATTGTTTTGCTCATGTCTTCCCATAAGCTGAAGCTGGACTTTCTATCACAGCAGCTGTTAAAATGGAGCAGGCAGAAGGTATTCTGCCTTTTGGATTAATTCTAGATCATTGTGTTCCAGTCTGAAAGCAATTTACCTTCATGGAGCTTAAATTACATTTAAAAAAACAAACGAAGTACTTCTCAAATCAGAACAAAAGCTAAAGGACAAAAATTGGGAAATAATTTGCCTAACAGGTTCCTTTCATCAGTGCGATCTCTCCAGACTTTAAAGAATAAAAAATAGTGACCCAACACCTGCTTCCGAGATAACTGTGGATGTGTTTAACCTTGTTTCCATATTTGAACCCCTGCAAACTGCATGCATACTGATTAGCTTCTGAGTGTATTTATAACATCCAGCAAAGGCAAACTATCCCAATTTCCCACCACAATATTTTTCAGAAATTAGTAGGAAGAATTGTGTTGCTTTTTATAAAATATCAATGAGAACTTCTGCAAGTGTTAAATATAAGTGGTATCTAAGAGAGATTTGAAAATTTGATCTCCTAAAAAAAAAAAATTTAGAACTTATGCGCACCCAAAGACACTGTCAAGAAAATAGACTCCACACAGACTCGGATAAAATATTATAAAACTTAAATCGGAATAAGGCTTTGTATAAAATTTCTACATACGCTAAAAAACTCTTACAAAGAATGTTTAAAAGGAAATCATCTGGTTAACGAATGGGCAAAAACACTGGAACACTTCGCAGAGGAAGAGAAGTGAATGCTCAATGGGTACACGAAACAGGCTCAACATCACTGGTCCTCATTCACATGTAAATTAAATCACATTGACATACCCGCTGCTCAATGACTTAAATGGCAGGATTAAAAAGACTGACAACACCAGCCCAGCCAGCGTGGCTCAGTGGTTGAGTGTCGACCTATGAACCAGGAGGTCATGGTTCGATTCCTGGTCAGGGCACATGCCCGGGTTGCTGGCTCAATCCCCAGTGTAGGGGCATGTAGGAGGCAGCCAATCAACGATTCTCTCTCATCATTGATGTTTCTCTTTCTCTCTCCCTCTCCCTTCCTCTCTGAAATCAATAAAAATATATTTAAAAAAAAAAAAAAAAAGACTGACAACACCCAGTATTGGTGGCCAGAACTCTCATTGGCTGAGAAGCATGTGCAATGGTTTGGACTCCCCGTGCCTCTGAATCAACAGGCGAATAAGGAAGTTACTGTGCTGGTGGGGGTGACTGATCCCAGCTATCCACACAAACATCTGCACATGGGTATTTATAGCAGCCTTATACACAGCATCCAAAAACTAGAAACAACTCAGATGTTCTTCCATTTGCAAACTGCGATGTATCCTACAACTGAACTCTACAATGAAAAGGAATGAGTTATGGATACCAAGCACCATGAGTGAACCTCCAGTGCATGATGCTAAGTGAAAGGAAACAGACTCCAAAGCTCCCTATTGAATGGTTCCCCTTACATGCTATTCTGGAAAAGAAGAAACCATGGCAACAGAAAACAGGTCAGTGGTTGATGGCGTTGGGGTACAGGGGGTGGTCTAGAAAATTTTGGGAGGTGATGAATTGTTCCGTATCTAGATTCTGGGGGTGGTTATACAACGTTACACATTTGTCAAAACTCATAGACCTATACAACCTGAATGGTATATTTTAATGTATTTAAATGAAACCATGAAAGGAGAAACATGAGATTGGGTACAGACAGTTGAGCCACGTACAAGGCTCACAAGATGTTGCTGAATGAATAGTGGCCGCAAACTGGGATCTAAAATTTCTAGAAGCCAATGCCTGATCACTTCCTTAGACGGGTCTCAACATCTATAGGATGTATCTCGGGAAGCACAAGTTTCTACGGGAGAGAAAACCATCCCCACGCAGAGGCGTGGGATAAAATAAGGAAAAAGTCCCTAGGAAGGCAGAGATCAAAAACAATGACTCTGCCCTAGCAGTTTGGTTCAGTGGATAGAGCCTCGGCTTGCGGACTGAAGGGTCCTGGGTTTGATTCCGGTCAAGGACATATGCCTGGGTTGTGGGCTCCATCCCCAGTGGGGAGAGGGGGGGTGCAGGAGGTAGCCGATCAATGATTCTCTCATCATTGATGTTTCTATCTCTCTCTTCCTCTCCCTTCCTCTCTGAAATTAATAAAAATATTTTTTTTAAAATGACTCTGACACATCCAGAACATTCTTGACAAGCGAAAATAAAGGCAA